CGTGGAGATAGTAACGACGCGAGACGCGAAGTGAAAGAGCATCAGATAGCGCGGATAACGCGGAAAAGCGGAGGCCTCGTCGTGTCCTAGGACGAAGGTTAGACGTCGCAGCGTACGCACGACAGCGTGCAGTTATCCGAGTTACGTTGTGATAAATTATACCGCTTATTACGCACGCTATCGCGACCAACAAGCGTGCAACGCTCGCGTAGTAGCACCCGCGATAAATCATGCCGCGTCCGCGCCCATGTATTAAAAAGTAACAAAGCGTCAGCTTCTTTCGGAACTTTTAGTCGCACCTGTACTTTGGATAAGCACCGATATATTTCTTCAACCTGTAAATTTTCCCCCTCAACTTCACCTCCCGTAGGAGTCGAGTCTTTCTCATTCATGTGATTCTCTCTAAAATTTTCGATCGATGATTCTGACAATAAATGATATTTTCTCTTTATCAAAGATAAAATTTTCGTTCCACATTGATCGTACAAATTTTGTCAAACTCGAATGACACTGTATAGACTATTGTTCCACCTTGATACTGCAAATGTTTATTTAATACCATTTTATCCACGACGAATTGTCCTTATTCCCGAATTATGTAATACGACACAGTGTTAGGGATATCTCGAGATTCTCCGTCTTTAATCTTCAAATTCGGCGGAAGCTGCGGGCTCAAGGTGGAAACCAAAATTTCGTCTGTGATGGAATTTAGCTGCTCCATCCTCCATTTTGATCCCATCAAGCGTTCGCGTTTGTAGGCAAATTTTTGTCCGACGTACCGCTTCTCTCTGCCTCTGCCGAACGTGTCGAGCGAGCAAATCCGCGCGCGTGAACGTACGCGCACCGCGGCCAAAGTCGTCCGGCATTTAAGCGCACCCTTTACATGGCAATCTAGTTTATGGAGTGATATCCAAGCCAGTAGTTAGCCGATGCATTAAGCAGGATATGCGTCATAATGCAGCGTGGATAACTGAAACCCGGCGCGGCGGTCCAGCGGCCTCGGACCTCGGATGGGGAAAAGTCGTTACACCGCATGCGTACCTGCGTACCTGCCTGCGTGACACACGCAGTCCGCCGCGTTCGTACCCGCCGACCGCCCTGCGTCGTGATAAATTATACCGTTTATTACGGCACGATATCAGCTCACCCACCCTCTCCGACGGCCCACGGCCAACCTGCGTACACGCTGAACGCTCCGCCGATGTATCGCGCGAATTTATGGTAGCGCCGATACCACGGTTACGGTAACCTACTTGCGGAAACGTAACGCCTACTACTACAAGCGGTTTCCTCTCTCTCTCTCTCTCTCTCTCTCTCTCTCTCTCGCTTTCTTTCTCATTCCCTTCTCGTTTTCTTATTTCGTGCACGATCATCACGGGCTACTCGCGCGCGATTGCCGATAAAATAAGAAGAATCTTCGGAAACATTCTTTAAGGTAGACGGAATCCATCGGATCGGAGAAAAAGCGAAGGTTAGTTCCTTTAATAAGCGTATCTTGCGCTATAATTACGAAATTACGATACGAGTGTCAAAAGACACAAGTGACGAACTGATCGCGGGAAGTATCGAAAAAGGCGGAATCACTCAGTGTCAGCGGGGACGATTTATAAACATCTCCGTATTTCTCCCGCCCTGCGTCTCGAGAATTAAGGTGGTAGAGGAATTAGACCAATCTCCGTCGTGGTGGTAATGTCATGGAAATAAGGGCGTGGGTCGTCGTCGACGATGCTTCCTCGCTGTTGCGAACATGACGGAATCGCATAAAGCACAGTGGCAATGTGCCAGTACAACGCGACTGGAATGTCACGTATGCGAGGCTACGGAGCTTTCTTACCGGGATTCGTCTGCTTATTCCTGCAGGAGGACCACTTTCGTACGCGGTTGTCTGCCGATAGAGAGAGAGAGAGAGAGAGAGAGAGAGAGAGGGAGGGAGGGAGAGAGAGAGAAAGAGAGGAAGAGAGAAAAAGGGACGAATCGGCGCGCGTGCATGAATCCAAATAGCTCTCGCGTCGCTGCAGCCGCGGGTTATCCCGTTTATCGTGAGCAAATATCGGGGGCCCGATGATAAATTTATTCTCATCCGGGAAGCATGCTCGGCTGGCCGAACAATGTTATTGGCCGATTTACCGGGCGACTCGCGGGATAAATTGTTGTTTCCGATATATAGGTCGCTGGCCCTGACCCCGACGGAACGTATTATTTTCGGACCTGGGAGACATCATTTCGCGATGTTAATGTTTCACTTGCTTTTTCGCGAACCGCTTATCGCATATACGTGGAAGCGTTTAAACATTATTACCGCTTTGAATGACCCGCGATTGTTTGCAAAATGTATTACAACGAATCGAATATTCCGCAACAGTTCCGCAGAGTATGCGTATTTGATTGCTTCGTTACGCAAAATAGCACGCGTGATTTCTTTATGATGCGCGCGGTATATATTCCGAGATTCAGCCATAAGACCCATCGATTAATAATTCAAGAGCTAATGTCCGATATTCGCCGTTTGAAATTCGGGCGTGCAATTGCTCGTATGAAATTGAGAGAGAGGAAAAGAGAGAAAAAAAGAGAGAATTTGACGCTATTGGCGCGTGAAAAATTATTCAATGCGAGATAAGACGTCGCGAGATTGAAATGTATGGAAACGTTACGGTAACTGAGTTGAACTTGCATCGTCGTTTTATGCAAGCACGCTCTATTTCACCGTATCGGAAATCGAAGTATCGCGGTTACTGACGAGGAACAGAAATGAAACCTCGATGGTGGCGAAAGAAACGAAGGTGCCGTTTAATTGCAAGGTTTTGCTTGTTGATTTCCATCGTTTCACACGTGGGTGGAGGTTACAGTGCTTCCATCCGCCATTGTTTCGAGTCTCCTCCGTGGAAAGAGTCCGAAAATCGTCATCGAGATCACCCGATCACGATCGGTGATTCTTGTTGGATTCCGCGATTAGCAAGCTGTGTTTTCATACGCAGTCGTCATATTTCCCAGATATTTGCGATAAAGTTCATGTCTCTAAAGAGGGAATTTCTTCGCTCATTACACCTCCTAATTTTTCCCAAAACTCATCGTGCATGAAAAAATATATATAGCGTGCGCAGAGCCACGTTTCATACGCTCTGAACCTTGTTGTACCGTAAATTACATTTAAGATGTGTACAAGAGGAAAGTACAAGCGATACACGCGAAGCCGAAATCTCTGTCGTACGCCTATTGCCAGCTTTTACGCCGGCCAGATTGCGAACCGTATAATACGCGGGGGGTTAGGGCGAGAATGTTACACGAAATGGAAATTGTACGCTGTTTACGAAGGACGCACGCCTGGAATATTATTCCGCATGCACTCCGATAAAACAGCGGGACGCTTTTACTGCGCCGGATAAATATCCGGGCCAAATTAAAAGCACTATTTTATCACGAAGACATACCCGGCGCGCTCAACTAGGCCGAAATGTCATAATTTGCCGAATACACTCATTCCCGGATTTAAGCGTTACCTCTTTTTTCCGCACGCGCGGTTTCGTTTTTATGAGATGAAAAATTCTCTCGGATTAATAATTTCGGACGCAGGTCGTCGTCTCGCGTCTTTGATACACCTGAGGTTTGTTCACTTTATGCAATTATATCGCATAATCCGAAACGCATTCCCTTCTCTTGTCCTCTCCCTCTTTCTGAGGGAAGAATTCCGGACCGGAACAAATAGGTCGATAATAGACGTGACATTTAATAAAATATCACCTACTCGTGCGCGCGCGTGCGTGCTCGATTGAAAGAACCATACGTTGACAACGGATCTAAGCAGGGGCAGAGGGAGGGAGATGAAGCGAGCGCGAAGTCGGCGAACAAGTAGGAGTAACTTTGTAACTAACGGCGGATAATCTATTTCGAAAGAGACGAGGGCGGAAGTCCTCGGTTAGATGGTTCAGTGACTAGAAGGCGGGGAGACGTGGGTAGAGGATAATCCTGTCGTCGTAGAGACGCGGATATCCGAGGGCGAAGGAGACGAGAACCGTCCCACGCTTCTCGGTGTCAAAGGAATACTTTTTTTACTCTTCATCTCTTTCTGCTTCCCGCCCCCTTCTCTCTCACTCGCTCATTCATTCTTTCTCCCTCTCCTTTCTATTCCCTTTTTCCTTTCCCGCTTCTTTACTTCCCCTCCGCCGCTCTCTCTCTTCATCTCTCTCTCTCTCTCTCTCTCTCTCTCTCTCTCTCTCTCTCTCTCTCTCTCTCTCTCTCTCTCTCTCTCTCTCTCCCTCTCTCTCTCTCTATCGCATGTTCACCTGCAGTTCTTCGCAATATACCGAGCGCTCCGAGAATATATTGCCTCGCTCACGCCGAAAGAGAGAACGTCGAATCGCGTATCGCATTCTTCGCCGGCGGGCGAGGAAACGCATATGTCGGATACACGTACACGTACGCACAACCTGAGTGAAAATGTTTGCGCAGCTAGGCAATTAATAACGTCGATGGAATAGATGCATATGACGGGCGGCAGCCCGGTCGTCGCGCAGGCGTAGCCACGTCGCAAACGGCGGCGAAAGACTTCTTTTCGGAATTTATTCGATCGCTAAATCGACTTGTTTACCTCAAAAGCGGATGGAAAATTGCATCTCGATAGAAACGCCGGGAGAAAAGAGAGAGCATGGCTCTTTATATATATTAAACTATACTACTGCGGTTACGATTATCGCACTTCTATCGAGATGTAAAATAATCACTGAACCTTTTTGGGACAGCCACATTCGTTCCCAGCTTACACGTTTTTCATGATTTGAATTTCGCTTTATGAGTCGCTCCAATTCGGCTGTTCCAATCGATATCTCTTAAGGTATAAAGTAAGCATAGGCACAGACGAGTAATCAAACATTCGCCGAATGATCATGAGTTACGAGAATGCCGATTCGAATTTCGAGTCTATATCTATTTTCGGTGAGTTCACCGAATCTGTCGAAATTCGAAATTTCGTGTGACGAAAATTAATTCGTCACAATTTAACATACCTGGAAATTTCTGAAATGTCGCTACCTACGTCGCAACTTCTTGGCTGCCGACTGCTCCATCGGAAAATTCCGCCGGAGATATTTACGGCTCCTGATACTGACAGTCGCGCGTACACGACGAGTTTCGATCGGAGAAACGTGTGTTACAGCTCCTCGTTGCGCAACTCTTGATCTATCGGGAAGAAGAAAAAGAAATGCTGAGATGAAGAGATATTATTCACAAAATGACCCGATCAATAAACGTCTAAAGAATCGCCGAAATATTCTAACAATCCTCAAGGACGCGAGAATGTAAACATACTGATAATGCGCGTACCGTACGACGTACATAGCTCGCTCGCCGTTCCCAAACAAAATGAAAGACGCTCGGAATGTTCGCCGCGTCTTTTATCCGCGTCGAAAGGTCCTTATGTCCCCTCTCGCCACCTCAAGCCTCTCGCGTGAAATTTGTATAATTGCTCAGTCGCTCGGCGGTGATTGATGGTAAGAATGAAGTACCTAGAAATGATTCGTTGATTGATGTCGAACAAATCTGTGAAACAGTCCCAACACTTCCCTTTTGCCTCAACGATCAATAAACTATCGTAAAATTCGAAAGGTCATTCTACAATACGTGTCGTAAGTTGTAAGCCGTAAGAATTGGCGAGTCACAATCAATTATTATAAAAATAATCGGCTATAATTGGTCAGATCTTACGGCTTACAACTTACGATACGTATTATAGAATGATCTTAACGTGACTTACGTCCCCTACGTAGCTCCTTGTTTCCTAACCTAATTTTCCTCGTGATTCTGTTACGTTAAATTTAGAGTTATTTATCGATCGTTCGAGTAATAGAAAAGTATTTCCATTATCCATTACAGTTCGACATTACTGTTCGACTGATCACGAGTACTATTTTCTGAAAATATCTACTTATTTCAGCGTATTTTGTAAAAATTTTCTGAGCATTACCTCGCTTCGACATTACAGCTCGAGGTGGCCGCGGCAAAAAGGGCGGGAGTCTTAGACTGCGTTCCGAAATTCACTGTAATTGCCACTACTGAAAATACATAGTTTGTGTCACGTATATTATAGAATTGCAGTGCTGGGCTGCTGGCAGTGAATATCGGAACACAGCCTCTATGTTCGTTTCCAATTGCTGAATTAATACTTTCGAAACTTAAAAAGAGACAGATATATCGAGATAATCGAGACTTGTTGAAAAGAAAAGAGAAAGACAGCTATGACGCGGCTATAATGCGCAGCCAGTTAAGCAGTAGAACACACGTGTCTTTAATAGACACGACACCGATCGCGTGTTTCACGAGCCGACGAAAAGTTCCGATCACACGCCACGTAAATCATAACTCATCAAGATACCGCACGCGCCGCGGCACGGCGCAATGCACGAAACATAACAATTTTTAGCAGGGCTACCCGGAGAGAAATGACTCGTCGATATAGACGTCGAATCGAGGTCGAAACTGTCCAATCGATGTCGATTCGATATTGTTTCGACATCAATCAACGAGTCATTTCTAGGTATGCACTTCATCCTTACCATCGATCACCGCCGGGCGACTGAGCAATTACACAAATTTCACGCGAGAGGCGTGAGGGCATAAGGATACTTTCGACGCGGACAAAAGGCGTGAATATTCCGAGCGTCTTCCATTTTGTTTGGGAGTGGCGATCGGGACGCGCGGTGTGCGTATTATCGGTGTGTTTACGTTCTCGTCTTTGAAAATGTTCGAATATTTCGCCGATTCCTCAGACGCTTGTTGATCGGGCTTTCGTTTCGACGTCGGATTAGTTAATTTGTGCTTCGGGTAGCCGTATTTACGCGAGTGTGTGTGAAGTGTTATTCAGCAGCCATGACGGAGCATCCAGGGCCAGAACGACAAGATGGAACGTTGGGAACAATACATAGCAAATCACCGCATCGTGTATTTCAAGGTATGTCGAATCGTGTATTACAGACATATCTTTTAATCTTCCAGGTATATCAAATCGTGTACTATACAGAAATATCTTTGAATTTTTCAGGTATGTCAAATCATGTATTATTACGGAGGTATCCTTCCTGCATCTCAACAGGCATTTCGTGAACTTATGAAAATTGAGGTTATACTTGGATCGCGAAATTCTGGTTAATCTAAAAGGTCTGTCATTATTTGATGCATAATTTAGTCTATATAGCGTTTATTTAACTGATTTAGCTGATTTTGCATAACTTGTTTTATAAAGGAGACCTACATCGATCCAAACAGTTGGATTGACTTATGAAATGGTCTATCTGAATACAAATATATATATTACAATGTATTTTATTTTATTCTATTTTATATCGTCTTTGTACAGAGATATTTGTGCCTTTTTGTATAAAAGGAATTTTTTTCCATATAATTGATAAAATAATGATAATAATCTATAATTAATTATGCTTTCAATCAAGGATTGCAAATAATTTGCGATTATGAGTACCGGTCCTAAGGTTTAATGCGTATCTCGCAAGAGTATGACTTTGTTTACATTCACCAATGTTTTTTCGTACGCGAAGTCCGTTTTGAGTTTGTCAACAACTTTTTCTTGCATCTATTGAGCGTTATTGTTGTATCAAGTTCAAATCTCTATTGATGGTTTAATCAAGGTTATTAACGACGACGGGATGCGAGGGGAACTGCGCTCAGAGACGGATCGGACGTAAAATGGACCGAACTGATTGCGCCTCAAAAGTAGCGCAGATTTAATCTTATTTACTACAGGCTAAAAGGGGGTTTCCGGGGTTTTTATAAACAGAAAGCTGGGGTACGCGGACGTGCGAGGAATATTGAGAGTATCCCGTCGCGCAATTACACTTCGCTTGTGCCGTCGCGATTGACCCTCGAATAGTGTTCAAGTTAACCTTTCGCCGCACCGAGAAAAGGAGGAAGAGATAGAAAGAGAGGGATTTCGCTGAAATGCACTCCCTTGCTGACGCGCACTGCGGATTAATTTATTGTCTATACGCTGCGAGCTCGCGCCGGCGAGCTCGCGTGTTAGCAGCTTGTCATAGAAGGTAAAGCGTTTTAGCTGTCTATGCTTTCTGTGCTTTCTATGAGACGGATAACAAATGATCATAAATTTTTCCTCTCCAGCGACGATGGAACAAATTCGGCGGGTCAAGCGTAAATTTAACGGGAATCGAGTTTCATCTCGTCGCGTTACCGAAATATCCGAAAGTACGATATTCGATGTCACAAAGTGGATGTAAATTTAAAATCATACGTAGCTGCTGCATCGAGATAAATCTTCGTCTTCTATTTCTATTAAATTACAGCGACATCGGCGCGCGAATTTCCAATTTCAGACAGTCGATCTCCAAACAGATGTACGCGAAATATCATTAAGATATCACACGATATCACAATTCGCCGTGCTGAGAGGCTGAGCGGCAATCTCGAGACCCGATCGCGGACATCGAATCGCCCATCTTCGGAGCCCTTGTGGCCCTCTCGGGGTCGTGCAAAAGCGCGAGCTCTTACAAGCACTTACCGGAGGGCACGCGGACGACGCGTTGCCGTATAGATTGCGCCGCGCCACATATATAGACGAGAGACTTATCCGACAGTAGATATTAGCAAGCCCCGACCGAGGTACGCGCGATGGAAAAGACGACCAAAGTACTTGAACCGGCGAATCTCCTCCTCCTCCTCCCTCTCTCTCTCTCTCTCTCTCTCGCGCGCGCGCTCGCGCTTCCCTTTCGCTCATGCTCTTTGCCAACCCGGTAAATAGACGCGAGCGTTTCCGCGGGATATCTCGCGCGGACTCGCGCGTCGGTGAAAAGTTCATGCCGTTCACGAGAGTCTTTGAAGACGCGGCCGCACGTCGAATAAGGCTATTTGGATACGGTGCACAGCTTCCGGTGTGAAACAGCATTCGCGCGGCTCTCTCTCTCTCTCTCTCTCTCTCACTCTCTCTTTCTCTTTCCCCGCTTTCCTCTCCCTCAGTCTTTCCTTCTCTTTTTCTCTGCTCTCTTCGTCGTGAAAGAACGTCCCATTCACACGTCCATCGCGCTCTCTCGCCGATATTCCCTGTCCTCCTCGCATCGCGTATCTCGCCGCGCCGTTCTCCCTTTTATCGTTCTCTACGCGCGCTTTTCCCGCGCGCCCGTTTCGCCGCTGATAGTCTCGCCGGACTTTGACGGATGGCACGTTCGTTTTCCACCTCGGTCACTCTCACGTCCGCCGTATGAGCGCACTCGCCGCCCCTTTTTATCTCTCTTTTGACGTCTCTCTCTCTCTCACTCTCTCTCTCTCTCTCTCACTCTCTCTCTCTCTCTCTCTCTCTCTCTCTCTCTCTCTCTTTCTCCTCTCTTTCCGTGCCTTTCCGCGCCTACCTCGCGCAACCCTGTCTCCTCAATGCTTGCCTCCCGCGCACGGTCGTTATCAACATCTTCCTTTCGTTTCATGTTTACTCTAGCGCGTTGCGCGCGCGGTCAACATCGAGATTGAAAATGTTGATTCACCGAATGAACCGGGACTGCCGAGGTCGCCCGACTACGACCTGCTACGGCTGTTTACAGGTAGATAAAACGTCACTGATTATACGACAACTTGACAGATGACATTTACCACATGGTCAGCTGAAAGTGGAATCGCGGGGATTGGCCTGGTCTTTGGTGATGTCGCGTCGGCATCGATCAGTCAATTCGCACGGCTAGCTATAAATTGTGGTCGATGTCTCTCTCTCGTCTTTCGCGTCGGGATATACAGCGCTCTCTCGTGTCTCTCGTGTAATAAAGGCTGTTTAAAAGAAAATAGCGCATCCGTTGGAAATTCATCGCGCTGCTCCACTTGGCCGATCTCGATTACACCATTTCATCTTACTTGGCGTTGTCGCGAAGGATTTAATGCCGCTCCCTGCGACGTATACACAGCAACTAAGGACTCGGATTATCCGCGGTTGTTACAATTGACCTCGGGCTCCCTTACACGTAACCGCAATTTCAAGTCCGGACAACGACATAAATTTCAATCGGACTTGCTCGCTAAATGCACGACCGGTTCGTTCTTTGGAATCCCGCAACGGTTGTTCTGCGAGAGATATCCAGGTATCCTTTATCCTCATTTTGCTCTTTCCCTCTCCCTCTCCCTCCACCTCCTTTTCTCCACCTCTTTCTCTCCGCCTCTCGTTCTCTCTTGGACCA